TTTATAATTTAACGAGAAATAAGTATTACGACCCATCAAACAAATCTGTAAATTAAGATCGACTCTCAAGCCCACAATTAAAGTTTAATTTGCCCCTGCAAACGTCTAGTTTTGGTTATAAAAGGCCTATGGAACTGTCATGCACTTTCAATTCAAGCTTCCGAAAGAGAAAGATGGAATAATCATTGCTGTTTTTATACGGCATTTTTTCTCTTTAGACTGCTCCATCTGTGAAACCGCTGATGCTTTCCTCCTTCCTTTTTTTTTTTTGAGAAAATGCTTTCCTCCTTCCTTTAATTAGTCTAGAGGCTCCCAACTTGATGACAATGACTGTTGCACCATATTTAATTTTTTTTTTTTTTAATTTAGATTGCACCGTCAAGTAAATGATTATATTGTGTCAAACACTTAGTGATCAACTAACCACCTTCTTTACGAAATGTGCTTAGGAGTTAAAACATTATGATCTAAGTCCTATACTTAGATCTCCTTTTCCCCTTCCCTATAAATTTTTCCCTGTTTAAAAAAGTTATTATATTGTACTTCTTTTCAAATAAAAACTTTTATTTCATTTCATAATATTTAATCATAAAGTAGGGGTCACGCACGTTTAAATGAGGTTCACACTAATAAAGGAGATCCACGCCAAGAAAGCAACAAAATAACAAAGCAACGAAAGTTGGGTGACGTAGATGTCAAAGTTTCGAGTTCTATCACCGTCGTGAATTTTATTAATTTACGGTTTAATGACTACGTACCTCATTTGAGGGGTGAAATATTCACAATTTTAAAAATTTTAATTATTAACAACTAACTCATACTAACTTACTAACTATCATCCTTATAAAAAAAAAAAAACAAAGCAACAAAAGAGTAAAGCAATGTCAGTATTTTAAATAAAGCAACAAAAGAATAAAGCAATATCACTATTTTAATTCACGTAGATAATGTTTTTCACCTGCCTTTCGTTACGTAGCACTACTTCATTTAAAAGTGTAAATATTTAATTTTTAATTAATTTGAATTAACTTTTTTTATATATTTTTATCAATTTTAATTAATATTTTATATATTTTTAAAATAATATAATATAAGACAAAATAAGAAAAACTACTATGACTATAAAACAGTGCAAACAAATAAAAATTTAGTGATTTATAGTCCTAGAAAATGTAAAATGAAAAACTAAAATAAAGTTACAATATTGATCAAGTTAAGAATATTAATTAGTTCAAAGTGAAAGCTGAATAAGTTTCTGATTAATTTATCCGTTTAAAATGATGAGAATTAAAATTGATTACTTCTTTTATTTTAAAATAATTTTTATTTTTTTATTTTTTAAATTATTAAAGATTTAGAGGTATTTTATGTATTTATTTATATTATTTTAAAAAAATTAAAAGATAA